ACGCGGCTGGGCCTATTAACCGTGGGCTTAATAACCAGCGACTACTGTATCTATAAAAACCTCAAAGAATGGTGGAAGAAACGAAGGCCACACAATACAGACGGCCTGACGCCACACCTACCAATCAGGTCTCACACCATATGCCTATTAATTTTTCCGCACGGCTCGGTTCAATGTGTATAGTTTAGCTTAACTAAATCAGATAATGCGGTACAACCGCGTAATATGCGCAAACTGTGGGATTCATTTCAAGATCGCCTATTAATTTCCGCAGAAATTAGGCAAGACAGGCTAGAACTGGAGTTCTTGCATCAGAAAAAACACAGGGAACGCTGGGGGGCTCAGTAGTGAGCCGAATCTCTCGCAGCTGCGCCAGGCGATGGCAGAGACTCAGCGCAACACACGTCTCTGAACTTCTAACTAGTACCTGTACTATCAGTATCGCAAATAATGGCGTAGTATTACATGCATAGGCTTATAACATGCTTAATGCCGCTTGCGGTATTTTTGACTCTTTCATGATACTGGGTCCGGGTGGATGAAAAAAGGAGAGAAGGTGGTAGATGCTTCCCAAGTCTGCTACAATTATAAAATATGTTACGCGCAAGCCAATGTCCATGTGCTCATGTTATACACGTCGTCAACAACGTTCGAAGTGGCCATTTCTGGCTTATTAGCTGTTGTCGGTCAGCCATAGACCACCTCAGGTGGTATACCATCTGAGGCTTGAAGTCTCAGTCTGTCGGTTAGAAATCCAGTGCCTTAACCATTGAGCTACGGTTTCGTTGTCTTGACGGTTTAGATTGGGAGTAGTGAGGCACCAACGCGGGCGTGGATATGGCTGGCTGATGACGACTAATGTGCATGTCGCGCGTCGAGCAGCTGTCAAGGCTGAAGCAGTCAAGGCCGACAGGAGGAACGAATACTGATGATGGAAGCGAGAGTTTCCGAAACGCCAGTTCAAATATGTTTCGGTGCACGAACTTAATAAGTGAACTGTCGACCCGAAATACTCAGGGACGCACTGGTTTCTATGGACAAAACACAAGTTTCGTGTTGGGGAAAAACTTCGGCAGGACTGATTATAGAAGCCCCAAAAATCCCTTCGACTTATAATAAAAACAACTTTTAACTGTTCAGCAGCCCAACTTCGATTTTCTTCGTTGAATTCCAGCAATAGGAGGACGAATATCCATTTTCGTTGAATTCCGCCTACATAAGGTCGAATTTCCCTTAATTGGCATTCGTAACCTGCGCAACAGAAGTTCATGTTGATCGAATTTTATTCTATTTTAGCACATTAAAACAAACGTAACCTTATTAAAATTAATATTTTTTGATCACTTCCGCCAAAATTGCATATTGATTTAAGCTCACTAGCCAAGAATTAAATGTTTGACCACAAAAAACGTTAAGCAGTTGGGCGGGGGGATAGATATTTAGAGGGGCCCTACAGATCAGTTTTGCCAAAACTTAT